TACTTTTTAAGAAAATCGCGATAAGGGCGTGACCAAAGGGATGAACGTGTCTAGACACGCTTCTACGCAATACCGCCTGGGGGGGATGGAGGGGGGATATACCTGCACGTGCACGTCCATTTCCTGGAAAAAAGGGGGGAGGGAGCGTGGGAAATTCCCCAATACTGGCCACTTACTACTGGGGAAAAATGCCTTGGAGGTATTTACTCAAACGATTGAGAATCAGCTGAAACGCCGAGATTAACTGCTCCCTTGGAAGCTTTTTTTTTTGAACGGTTGCGTTGTTAACAAATTCAAAAATGATTGAACAAATTGGGGGGAAACTGTCTTGGAAGTATTTACTCAAACGATTGAGAATCAGCTGAAACGCCGAGATTTACTGGTCCCTCGGGACCTTCTTTTTAAACGGTTCCGTTGTTGTTAACAAATTCAAAAATTATTGAACAAATTTTTGGGAAAAATGTCTTCGAGGTATTTATTCAAACGATTGAGAATCAGCTGAAACGCCGAGATTTACTGGTCCCTCGGAAGGTTGTTTTTGAACGGTTCCGTTGTTGTTAACAAATTCAAAAATAATTGAACAAATTGGGGGAAAAATGTCTTGGAGGTATTTACTCAAGACATTTTAACGGTTCCGTTGTTTAATCATTTTAAGATTTGTAAACAATAATGAAACCGTTCAAAAAAAAAAGTTCCGAGGGACCAGTCAATCTCGGCGTTTCAGCCGATTCTCAATCGGTTGAGTAAATACCTCCAAGACATTTTTTCCCCAATTTGTTCAATAATTTTTCAATTTGTTATCAACAACGGAACCGTTCAAAGAAAAAGATTCCGAGGGACCAGTAAATCTCCACGTTTCAACTGATTCTCAATGGTTTGAGTAAATACCTCCAAGACATTTTCCCCCAATTTGTTCAATCATTTTTGAATTTGTTAACAACAACGGAACCGGTCAAAAAAAAAGCTTCGGAGGGCCCACTTAATCTCGGCGTTTGAGCTGATTCTCAATCGTTTGAGTATACATTTTCGAGACAATTTTACTTCAATTTTTTAAACAAGTGGCGTTTTTAAGAACGTTAACTCGCTATTTCATTCCGTCCATCGATTGTGTCTCTATCATACCCTCACTCTCCGGTACATCACATGTTTTCGTTCGTTTTCGGAAGTCATCGTTATTTCGATAAGTGCCCTACCTTAGTGACACTCACGACCGCCTCGAATTATCGACACTCATGGGCTCGCGCTCTGTCTTATCCATACTCACGGGCTGTGAACATTATCCAGACGCACGGGCTCTGTAAACTATCGACACTCACGGCAGAAATTATAGGGGAGATTGCTAACGCCAATGGCGAGGCTTCAACCGCGAAATTGTCTGGCCGCCCTAGCCGAACTAATATTGCGGGTGTACCTGTGAGTCAGACAGGTCGCGAGGGCAAGAGTGTCGATAATTTTCGGAGGGCGTGGATACAGATAAGGCAGAGCGCGAGCCCGAGAGTGTCGATAATTCCAGGAAATCGTGACGAAAGAAAACATCCCATGTGGAGCGGAGTGGGAGTATGATTGGAGAAACAATCGATGGACGGAATGAGAAAAATGAATTCACTTCTGTAAATTCGAAAAATTGTTCAACAAATTCGGGAAAAATTGTTTCGCTAATGTATACTCAAACGATTGCGAATCGTCTGAAACGTGGAGATTTATTAGTCCCTCGAAACTTTTTTTTTTAACGATATCTCTTTTGTTAACAAATTAAAAAATGATTAAACAAATTTGGGAAAAATTGTCTCGCAAATGTATACTCAAACGATTGAGAATCGTCTGAAACGTGGAGATTTATGGGTCCCTCAGAACTTTTTTTTTTAAACGACAGCTTTTTTGTTAACAAATTCAAAAATGATTAAACAAATTCGCGAAAAATTATCTCGCAAATGTATACTCAACCGATTGAGAATCGTCTAAAACGTGGAGATTTATGGGTCCCTCGGAACTTTTTTTTTTAAACGATATCTTTTTTGTTAACAAATTGAAAAAAGTTTTAACAAA